ACCCCCCCAGAGGCTGAGGCTCAGCCTCGAGGCTGCAGCTGAGACTCCTTGAAACTCACACGCCGGATCGGCGGATTTTCAATTTGTCGCGCAAAATCCCCTTGTAGGGGGACGCTCCCGACTTAACAATTGTCCTCTGCACCTCCGATGGCCGTTTGGATTCCACCCGGGAATGCCGCACACTCTTGCATGTAGTACGTCTACTGCCTTTTATTGGTATCAGACGTTGACGCGGGCTGCCACATCTAATGGCCGCTACTTTGTGCAAGAGTGCAGTCGGTGGAAAAAAACACGCATCGCTGTTCGACATTGTCACGCACACCACTCATTGCGCGGGTTTCGCTAACATCTTGGGGGTCCTTCGTCGCCGCGGCTGACTCCTCTTCGAGATCCTAGTCAGAGAGCACCCCAAGGAAGGTTCGCGGGTCGATTTTGAGGCCGACGGCAGGTACGGCCCTGGGATATGGCTGCACTTCCGCTGGAACGTAGTAATGGGTCCAGCCTTCCTGGCAATGGTGGTACTCCAGCTGCCGCTATTCTGGTTCTGAGGGGTGGCAACGGAGAGAAGTAGCTCCAACCAAACCAAGCGGACCCCATTTTACCCGCGCTTCTCACCTCCTTGCAGGATGGTTTGACTTCGCAGGCATTGCCCCGGCCGCGTTCCGTTTCCCTCTTCATCCTCCTCATCCCAATGTGTTTTCCCCTCCATCGCCTGGTTGATGTAAAAATAACTATCGCAGGTTCTGCATCCACGGGAAAGCCGTCGAAGGGCTCGACCTTGGAACCTTCTCCGACACTTCCTCGTTCTCGGGCTTCTTGGCTACCATGACCATAGCCAATCTAGGACAGGAGAACCTGACGATCTGGTGCAAAGACATCGACATCGCAAACGTCACTACCTTGTGCGGGTGGCTGGACGCGGTGGGCGCTCTGATAGTATTGCTCGCTGCGAAGTGGTTCGAGTACGTGGAAGTACCCAGGGGAAAAAAAGAAACGCTGACCTTGGTGCCAACGCCGGATGACTACACAGTCGTGCTCTCGGTGCGCATGTGGATTGCACGACCACCAGTACAGGCTGCAATTTGGCATCGTATGGTATCTCTTGGAAGCGAGGGTGGTCAAAAGCGAGGTAGGTTTGTTTTCCCCTTATTCCACCCCTCCCCTTCCCGTCCGTCCATCCTCTCCCCGAGCATTGGGAAGATGATCGCATATCGCTTTCAGCGCGGCGTGCATCGAGCGAGGCCAGCGGACCGCCGATCGCGCTTACCCGCGTGGCCGGTCAAGCAGTCGAGCCGTCCCGATCGCACAGGAGGAGGAGGAGGAAGAGGATGAGGAGGAGGAGGACTGTAGCGCATTGTTGGTACCCTTGAGGGCAGGCATGGCCCTGCCGGTTCGGGTGGCGCTCGTGGGCCCTCGCATCCCTGAAAGCGGTGTCCATGATGGCGGGGCGGAGGAGCACTATGATCCTGGAGCTTGTTTCAAAGACCGCCGTAGGCATCTGGTGTTGGTGGACAGCATGCGCTCGTCGCACCTCTGAAACAGCCTCCGTTTGATCAACGAGTTTACGCAGGACCGTCGACACTGCCGCCGAGCTGCATCCAGGAGGTCAGTACCTCGGCGGGTGCGCATGCAGGACCGCCAGCATTGCCGCCGGGCTGTGTTCTGGAGGTCAGTACTTCAAGTGGGCGCTACCTTAGGAGTGATTTGGGGCGAGCTCCACGGCAGTCCATGTCGCAACCTGCCTTACAGGTGACAGGGGGGCGGACTTGATCCTCAGCAGGAGAGGTCGCCACCTTAGGAATGACGGGGGGGCCTGCTCCACAGCAGGCCTCGTCGCCTCCGTAGGAGCCGCAGTGGAGCATGCTCCACGGCAGCTCGTTTACCGCCTGCCTTTCGGGTGGCAGGGGGAGCCCGCTCCTCGGCAGGACAGATCGGACACCCGCCGGCTACTGCATGGGGGACGTGCAACGAGCGCCCGTCTCCACCACATGTGGCAGGTGCACCCGGCATCCGTCACCACTGGGGGCTGGAGGTGGAGCAAGCCCCCGTCCCAATAACAGGATCGCCGCCTCGGGTGATAGGGGGACCTCCTCCAAGGAATACTGATGGGTGATCTCGGGACAAAAATGGAAGCCTTGTCCGATACATGATTCCTCGATCGAGGGCGCTTGTCCCAGGGCGGCTGGAAAGTTTACGGCAGGCTTTCTGCGGCGTTGGCGCTCCGCTGGCGAAGGCGTTCAGGGTTGAGTTCTGCGACGCGGAAACACCGAGGGACACGGTGACGCAATTGGACCCGACTGAATGCAACCTTGAACGCTCGGGGACGCGATCAAGTCAAGGTTGAACGATCGACGCAGTGTCAAAAACCTTTGACCGTGCCGAGGCTGCACGAACCTACCGTACATCCCCACCTGCCACCGTAAGTGAGAGGAGGAAAAGGTATCTATGCCGTTGCCCTTCCCTCTGTTTCCCCCATGTTGGGACTCTTGTGAAGCCATCGTCGTCACCGCTGCATTCGCCTCGAAATTCTGGTCAGGACGCACCCCGGGAGAGATCCAGGGAGTAGCGCTATCGGTACCTTTTTTTATGGTTCCCCGAGTAAGGATGTAAGTTTCCCAGCGCCCTTGGTACAGGCGTTCCCGATGGCGGAAGAGCCGCTTTTGTACCGTTTTGTGCCCATTCTTGTGACGGTCATCAAAGGGGGGGAAGAGCACCCCGACCCCGACAATATGGCGTTTACTAAACAGCCCTGGGCGTTTACTAAACAGCCCTGCCCTGCTCGAGTTCTTCCTTGGGTGCGTTTGCTAAAGAGCTTCGCTTGTCGGGGTCTTGATATGGGGGTGGTCTTCCTGCTCTCTACGTCAGGCGCCAGCGCGCGAGGCGCGGGCGGCAATCGGGGCTCAAGAGAGACGGGGGTCAGTGCAAGCGGTGGTCAGCCAGAGCGCCTGACCTCGCGGGCATCCTGCAGAGCGAGGAGTGCACTGGCCAGGGCTGGCGCGCAGGATCCCGCGGGACCCTGCAGGAGCCTGCAGGGCCTGACCGACCCGGGTTGGCAGATCACCGATCGATTTCGCCCTCTTGGGCCTCGGGGAAGGCCCTCGGCGCCACCGCCGGCGGCAACTGGCCCGAGCTCCTCACGTCGAGGCGGCTAGCGGCAAGCGGGTGCTCACAGATCGTTTTCGCCTCCTTGGGCCTCGGGGAAGGCCCTCGGCGCCACCGCCGGAGGCGACGGGCCCGGGCTCCTCACGCCGGGGCGGCCAGCGGGTGCTCCGAGCGACCCCGCCGGGCGGCGCGGGCCGCCGGACGGCCGCCGAGCTGGCCGACGGAGCCCACTCGGGAGGCAGGTGCTCGTCCGTGGACTGCGCCGAGCCTGCCTGAAGGAGGGGGGGGAGGAGGAGGGGGAGGAGGAAAACGAGGAGGAGGAGGAGGAGGAGGAGGAGGAGGAGGAAGGAGGAGGACGACCTTGAGGAGGAGGAGGAAGGAGGACGAGCAGGAGGAGCAGGGAGGTGCTCGCCCGTGGGCTGCGCCGAGCCCGCCTGAGCGGACGGCTCCCGCGGAGGCCCACCCGCGGCCGCGCCAGGGGAGGAGCGGGAGGAGCAGCAGCACGAGGAGCGCCCCGGCTCCTGGGAGGGGGGTGGGCCCGGCGCCGAGGTCGTGGTGCACAACTTGCCGCCCCAGGCGACGACGACGACGACGACGACGACGACGACGACGAGGACGACGACAACGACGACGACGACGACGAGGACGACGACAACGACGACGACGACGAAGACGACGACGACGACGACGAAGACGACGAAGACGAAGACGATGACGACGGCGACAGCGACAGCGAAGACGATCACGACGACGACGACGACGACGACGACGACGACGACGACGACGACGACGACGACGACGACGACGACGACGACGACGACGGCAGCGGCGGCGGCTGCGGCAGCGGCTACCGCGGCGGCGGCGGCGACAGCGACGGCGACGAGGGCGACGAGGCAGACGACGAGGGCGACGACGACGACAAAGACGACAAAGACGGCAAAGGCGACAAAGACGACAAAGGCGACGAAAACGACAATGACGACAAAGACGACAACGACGACAAAGACGACAAAGACGACAAAGACGACAAAGACGACCTAGACGATGAAGACGATAAAGACGACAAAGACAACGAAGACGACAAAGACGACAAAGACGAGACGACAAAGACGACAAAGACGACAAAGACGACGACGACGGCGGCGCGCCATTGATGCGGAGGCGCACCCTTCGGCCTGCCAGAACCCCTCGGCCAGCTCAGCGGAGGTGTACCGCGCGGAGTTGAAGAGCCACTTCGAGCGTTTGCTCTCGGCCGAGGCCGGCGGGAATTGCGGGGCCGCTCCCTGAGAGGGTTTCGCCCTCGATCAGTGTGAGTGTGAGTGTGAGAGTGAGTGGGTTTGCGTATCAGTGCCTCTAATTATGAGGCGGAGGCACCCCACTAAGTAGCAACAGATAGTCCCATGAGCTAGGATATGGGCACACAAAAACTAACTCTCTCTTTCTCTCTCTCTCTCTCTCTTTCTCTGTCTCTCTCTCTCTCTTTCTCTCTCTCTCTTTCTCTCTCTCTCTCTCTCCCCCATCCTTTCTCTGTCCTGCCCCCCGCCCCCTTCCCCCCTCCCCTCCCCTCTCCTCCCCTCTGCTCTCCCTCCCCCTCTTTGCAACCCCTATCCCCGTCCCATGCCCTTCACACCCACCTCAGATCCAAGCTTCCACTCCCCTTTGGACCCCCACGACCCCTCCCCGGGACGAGGGGGAGAGTGGGGGAAGCGGGGACGACCAGTTCGGGGGCATGCCGCGTCAGTCTTCCAGAGGTGGTCGCGCCCAGGAAGGGCATGAGAGTGTACAGCACCAAGGACAGCGACGGCTGCAGAAAGTCAAGCTGGTCGCGATCAAGGCGCTTCAGCCAATGCGTGCAGCACAAGGGAAAGGTGGTCAGCGTCCAAGGCACGTCTGTCAAGGTCGCCACTCGAAGTCCGAAGAGGAGGCGGAGGAGGAGGAGGAGGAGGAGGAGGACGGAGGAGCAGGTAGGAGGACGCAGGGGAGGAGGAGGACCAGAGTACGTTTAGGAACTTTTGTTTAGCGTGGCGCTTCGAAGGTTCTGGCCCACCGCGCTCCAGCGCGATAGGCTACTCCAGATTTCGTAATAAAAAGGAAGGGGTCTGGACCCTCCAAGACAAGCCATTTCAGACCTCCCCCGTGGGAGAACCCTCCAACACATCGTCCCCAGACCCCCCGGGCCCTCCAAGATAGCCTGGAAGAGACCCCCCCGAAATGAGACCCCCCTCCCTTTATTACGAAATCTGAAGTGCCCACGTCCCCGTTCCCAGGCGGTAGCATACCGAGCCTTTCAAGGCCTCCCGCCCCACGAAGCGGAGCGACGCACTGTCCGCCCGCAGGGCACAGCGTGCCGCCGTGGCCGCCGCCGCGGCACGCGAAGCAAAGATGCTTGGCCGTAAGCCCAAGATACATCGGCGATTCTCCAATACACTCGGGGGTGGACAGACCTTCTACCCTGACACGTAGATTGAGGAACTGCCCGTTTACGGTTCGCGAGAGGGCGTCGCGGCCGTCATGTTTGCGGGTCCAGGTCCGACGGTTTCGGTCCCAGGCCGTTTTCATTAAGGGGAGGTTTACTAAAGGGAGGTTTGTCCACGGCCGAAAACCCAAGATGCATCAGCGATGCTCCAATACAGCTTGCCGTCCCAATTCACTTCACAAGTCCTTGCAAGCCTTCCTGTGCACTACAAGGAGCACCAATTTGGAAGACTAGCAACACATGGGGCTGCCGCTCTGGCGAGAGCCCCGTGTTGACAAAGAATGCTTCACGCTTCGCGCATCCCCACCAGTCCATTGAGAAATCCTGCCCATGAGAGATGACGGGAGAAGGGACGAAGAGATACACATATAGTGAAACAAAGTGGGCAACTAGGGTTACCAGAAGAATCTCTGGAACTAAGGGGGTGGCCTTGGAGGGCCCCTTCGGGCCATCCATGTGGCCCGCGTGGGGGCGAGGGAAGGAGGAGGAGGAAGAGGACGAGGAGGAGGAGGAGGAGGAGGAAGACGACGACAACCACCACCACGATGAGGAGGAAGAGGAGGAACAGGGAAATGAAAACGATGAGGGCAAGGACGAGGACGAGGAGGAGGAAGAGGAGGAGGACAACGAGGACTAGGACAGAGCCCTCAAAATCGCATATTGCAGCTCTCTTGGGACTCGTGTGGGGGATCTTGGGGTCCTCGTTGGGCTATTTGGGGGATCGTGGGGCCCTCTTGGAGCCCTCTCGGGAGTCCTTTAGGGTGTCTTTTGAGAGTCCTGGAAGGCCTCTTGGGGCCATCTTGGAGGCCACCGATCAAAGGGGGGGGGGCGATGTTAGTCCCCCTCTGGGCCATCAAATCGTCTCTTGGAGCCCCCTTGGGCCGCTCTTGGGGCCGTCTAGAGGGCCCATTGGGCCCCTGGTGGGCTTTCCTTGGGCCACCGTGGAGCCATATTGAGGCATGAAAAGTGCATCAGAAGCGAAAAGGTGAGAAGGCACAAATCATTGATTTCCCTTACGTGTTTGACTGAGTTGGGCTTCTTGGGGGATGCTAGGGGAGTGGAGCACTTGGAACCGTCTTGTGCTCCTCGACGGGCCCTTGAGAGTTATGCCAGAAGCTATCGTGGATCATCATCCTCGGCTGCATTGACCCACCGTGGAGGCCATTACGGAGCGTCGGAGGCCCTCTTGGAGCCATATTGGGCCACCTGTGGCGCCCTGACCGATCGCGGCCCGCCCCCAAAAAAATCAAGTCGGGGAGGGGGGGGGTACCCGTCCCCGCAATAAAGAGGGCTCTTGGGAGAGGAAAGCTAGATTTCGCAAGGCCACCTTAGCCTTGGCCTGCATCCATCAGGCGCGTCATCAGCAGCTCGAAAAGGTATTACCATATAGTTCAACGAGGTGTCCAGCGAGGTCCCCCGTTTGAGGAAGGGCCGCCTCGCACACGTGTAAATGCTGCACATGTTTACGCATGCTGTGTTGGATCCCGAGGAAGTTCCAAACGACAGTCCCAGTTTGGAAAGGAGCAGCCCTCCACAGGTGCAGCTGCTACATATGTGGGCGCTTGTGTTTTTGTCACTGGAGGGCGCGTAGATAGATAGCCCTCTTTGAAAGGGAACCGTCCTCCACCCCAGGAACAGTTGCAAACGTTGTACACCGAATATGCGCGACGCTAAGGCTAGAGCCCAATTTTGAAAAAGGAACAGCCATCCATCTTTTGCAACTGCTGCAGCCATCTACGAGAGATGTGCACGGCGCTACGGCGAGAACCCTACTGTTGAAAGGAATAATCCTCCACCGCTGAGGCTACGGCAAGCTCTTGAGACGACTATACGCACGGCGTTTAGGCGCAAGCTGCATGTTGAAAAAGAGCCGCCGACCCAAGATGAGGGGGAGGAGGTGGGCAGGGGAGCAGGCAGGAGAGGGGAGCGGGAGGGGATTGGGAGAAGAATGCGGGTGATAGCCCGCATTGCAGCACTGTTGTTGCGAAGTATGTATACGGTGTGTTTCCCACCACACGCGTCACCCATTAGCAGCGTGTCGGCTCGGGCAAATTGATGTGGTCTGTTGTGATGAGTACGAAGAGTACGGTAAAATGCGTCCGCCGACATGTATTTAATTCGAGGTGTGATTCAAGGGCTGTGCGAATTCATTGGCAGCGGTGGTCGAGGATGGGAGGCAGACGCGGTCGTGGTAAGACTGGAAGGTGGGAGTGGAACCCACGGTTCAAGACTATCCGTTTCAGCTTCGCGGCCCAATTCGAAGTTCGAACAACCGCTAAAAGTCGCCAGCCTTGAACGATGTTGCTGTCCAGGCCTCTGCCTGCGCGACGGCACGCAGGATTCCATGTGCATTGGGCCTCTGGGATCGAAACGCACTCAGCCCTCAGCACATCGTGACACACGTCATCTCAGGGCCCCACAGAGTGCACCAAAAATGTGTGATGCGAAGCGACTCGGGCACCCGGGCACCTTGCGAGCGGCTGGCTTCGTGAGACCGTTTTCCAGCTGTCTCTCGCTATGGACCCACCGAGCACGGGCATCACAGTCCACAGCGGATTCCTGAATAGTTGATAGTTCCGTTGCTGAATTCTTCCCCTTGAGTCCAAGATATGACGAGACCGACCTGTAGATCACAATGCATGCCGACGCAAGCGACATCGTTGAGTGTACCCAGGATCGGGCAAATTGGTCCCCACTAAGCTCGGAAACGCATTATAAGCCCAGATGTATTAAACCGTTGGGGTCAGATCCACATATACGTCGCACTCAGAGTTCGTCATTCCTTCAGCTTCCGCCCCCCAGAGAAAGCTTCGGGCAACAGGTTGAGCTTTTTTTGAAGCCAGGTCACAAACCCTCACTACCAAATGTCCGTCCTGCATCCAGATGGGACTACAACCAAATGCATCCCCGCTCGTGAGAGAAAGGGTAGGGCGGTTGGCAAAAATCTGGACATATCGAGTTGGCCCTTTGGGCTGGAACTGTGTATCGCGAGGGTCTGATGTTTCGCCCCAAGGGCCGGAAGCTTTTGCGCTACACGCCAGGAACGGCCAACTACTGTTGCCCCACATTGGAGACCTGTCTGGGCGAAACACCACTGGCCCCGAAGCTCATTCCAGCTGGGAAATCTCAGAGCGCGGCTGGCTCGCTCAGGGCCCCGCTCCGCTCAGGACTCATACCAGTCGCGTGAGTGCGGTTTGCGAATCGTCGGTTTGGGGGCAACACGAAGTTGGAGTCAAGGCGCAGCTCGACCTGATATTCACAATGAAGGCAGGAAGCCCTTTCCCATGGAGTGCCTTCTATATGGTCACGCAATGCTCGTCGTCTTCCAATCCAACGGTCGGAAAATCGTCCATTCGAATAGCGATGCTGACAATCATTTTTCAGGTCTAGGCATTATTGGTGATATCGCACGGGGTCGATTTATCGACATGGTCGTAGGTGGCCTCACTTTGTGTTTGTGAATCAGAAGCTCGGCACATCACCAGCAAGGCTTCTTCTATAGGCGTCTAAGACGTGCGCGGCGCGGGCGACGAACGCGATGGAAGGTGCAGGGGCGTCGCTGGACGGCGGGCGCGGGGGCGGTGAGGGGGTCGGCGACGCTGGCGAGGGCGAGCACGTCCGGGCGAAGTATTGCGGAAAATGAGCTGGCAAGAAAGCGCAGCAGAAGTCGCGCGTTGGCACTGCGAAGTGAGAAGAAATCGTGATCTGCGTGCAGTGTTCGAATGGAGCGTGCGTGGCGTTGATGGAAAAGGAGACGGACGTGTCGGACTGACAAGAAGAAGGGAGACGGAGCGGTGGCAGGCTGCGCCGGGCATGCGCAAAGTGGAGGGAGAAGGCGGTCCGGAAAGCGAATTGCGAAGCGGCGAATCGCGAGAGGAAGGCCGAGGCAGAGTCGGAACCGCGGACGTGCTGCGCGCCAGGATGCGGCGCGACGTTCTTGGACGGGCCATTTGAACCCCAAACAAATGCAAGGGCATGGGCAGATTCTGCGCGATACCGAATGTTGTCGCCCGAGCTTGCTTCGCGTTGCCTGTGCTGCTCTCTTCTTTCTCTGCTCCTCCCCTCCTCTTCGTGCCCTTCCTCGCACGGCCCCGTCCCATCGCAGTGTCGGCTTCAGTTCTGGGCTCATTGCATAGAGTAATGTGGGGTTATATATTTGGCGGCTGTGTAGGCCCAGGGGCGCATAAACCTTCGATTGGACGTCGGTGGCCGAGGGCGGTTGCACTGCTGAATTTCCCCTCTCCCTCCTCGACCCCCTTGTCCTCCCCCTCCTTGGTGGTGCTTTTGAGCCCCCTTCCCCGGACAGCGCAAGCATCGCCACAAGTTTCTGCACGAGCCAAGGTCTCACGTGTTGGCTCACCTATTGCAGGTTGGCCCTCGCGCGACTCCGGATTTGCTCGGTGCATATTGCCGGCATCTCGT